ATAAACAAAGCACTTGTGCTGCCAGTAATTAACTCAATTAAAAATTAAATAACATTAAACTGGATTCAATTGGAGCAGAACCTCGAGTTTGGTCGTTTGGTCGTTGACCGCATGCTATTGAATGGCCGACAAGTGTTGGCCAGAATTGCTAATTGCGGCCACATACAATTGAGTAACAACAAAGCAACCGCAGCATCCTGGCCACACACACACACATTCATATGATCAAACAAGGAGCATCTTCACACATATTACGGAAAACAGAATGGCGAATGGCGAAGCAACCACTTCTGGGCAATGGCAGCCCAAAGTGCTTTTGTCTGGCTAAGCGGAATGTGGAACACAAAAATTGCATATCAATAAGTAGTAAAAGTATCTGGTATCTGCAAAAAAGAGCCAAGCGAATTTTCCACATCATTAGATGGCCAGCTGGGGAGCTGGCTCGCTTTTCCCTCTCGTCGTTTTGGTGGCCAATGCATATTCATCACACGCCATATTAATCAACCAGATTTTGCCCTCTTCTCTGGTCTTTTTGCCCGCTCTAAAATCCGCATTAAATTCAGGAACAGTGCCAGGATGCGTGGAAGGGTAAGCGGAGTTGTGGGAGCCTTTATGAATGAGCCGCGGAGCTTTCACTAGCCGGCAAGGGTATCATAGTCGTAAAAAACACTTTGTTTACATAGGCCACAACGTGGTTATTTTTGGACTGTCTTCCAGGAAAAGCTCTGGGAAGCCCATAGTGGTAACAGTTTTGCTCAACATTATGGTAGAAAAGCTTGGCAAAACAGCTTGGGGTCAGTAAAAGCCTTAGCTTGGCATTGAACCATATTTAGGCCATGGTAAAATGTCTTTAAAGCTTATTTGTTAAGGGCTGTAAATGTTTAATACATGACATGTATTATTCTTACAAAAGTTTCGCCATTTTAATCTTACTTTTGTTTTGAAATTTTATAGATGATACATTTCCTAAAATGTAAATTTGCTTTAAATAGATTTATTTAGTTTATATTTAAATATAGTTAGTATGGTTTAATTTTATTTTCATTATATCGAAATGGAATATGATTTTAATAAAAAAAAATATTAATAAATATTAATAAATAGTTTCATTGAAAACTAAAATATTACTGGTAATTTCATCGCACTGGAAATATACTCTTCTCTTAGTTGCAAATGTCTTACCAAAATCATTATACAAATTTTGCAAAAATGCGAAACATACCCAATCATGTTCCCCGAAGTATTCAAACACAAATTGTTGCTTACACATTTAACTATATTTTAAATGCTGGGGAAAGTTTTTACGAAAAATACAGAAATTCGGTATCTTTGCACTCACTGTTGAGTGCAATAAGTATGTTTTAAGCGTGTTACTAAACATATTAAGCACAGTGCATTATTATTAAATAGATTCTTAGATAACTTAAATAATTCACGATTATAGAATCTTTAGCTGGACTTTGTATTCACACATTACGTTCCTGGCATAAAATATAGATAATCACTTATTTTATGAGGTTGCCAGAATGGCAAAATGAAATGGTTAAGGAAAAGTATATGATAGATAATGATATGCACACGAACAATCACTGCCACGAGTGGAATATATAGAAGAGAACGTAAAAATAGATAACAGATAGGTACAGATAGCCGATACTAGGCACTTAGAGATACGGCGACGCCTTAAGGAACTTTCTTGAACTTGAGCAGGCACTCGTAGAGTGTCAGTTGCCTGGTTTCTGGCATAAGCATAAACACCATTAAGCCGACTATAAAGCTAAGGCCACCGATCGTGAAGAAGAACACCGAAACGGTAATGCAGTGCTCGAAGGTGGCCACAAGGAGTCCTAAGTGGAGTAATTGTTCCAGGACCAAAATCCCAGCCAAACACCTGGCCTTGTGGGCTATGCTGAATGCCTCCGCTGTGTAGATTAGGGCGGGCAATGCCACGCCCCCGGCCACAATCACCTCGAAAAGCAGCATTAGAAGAGCAATGGCTAGGAGATTTATATCGTAGAATGTTCTCTTCACGGACTCCAGATGTTCGAAAACGCCACCAACCATTACAATCACAATTCCGGCCAGGAAGAGGGACAAGGAACAGAGTTTCCTCCGACCCTGTCGATCCACAACGAAGGCCCCCAGAACACTGCCCCCGAGTCCGGCGAATGCCAGCCAATACATGCAGTTCATATCGCACTCGAGGCCATGCCAACTGACCACCACGAATGCACGGTTGTAGCTCAGGGACACGGCCAAAGTGGCAAAGCACCGCAGTAGCAGGACCTTCAGGAAGGGCAGGAAGCGTCTGGCCCATGTTTTCCAGCCAGCAATGGCCTCATCCGGCTCCTCCACAAACCGCTCCCAATCTCGGGCACTATGCAATTGCCTGCAGTCCTCCCTTAGACGTACCAACTCCGTGGTAGACTGTCCATGCAGAGCCTTTAGGGTGTCACCCAGCGCCATGTCTCGTTCCTGGTGCAACAGCAGCAGCGGAGATTCCAGACGATGGGCCAGTGCCAGGATCACTGCACCCAGTCCCAGGCCAGCCATCGCTATGCCATGCAGCTGGTCAATGTGCATTTCATAGCCCTGCGAGTCCAGTGGCCTCAAGTTGTGCCACACTCGGGTGTAGAACACCTGCACACAGACTCCCAGCCAAAGGAAGACCTTCTCACAACTGAGCAGCATCCCCCGAATGGACTTGTGGGCCACCTCGGATCCCGTGACCAGAGCCTGAATCTGGGTCAACCCATATGCCGCTCCCACACTCACGCTGCTGTAGCAGGCGGCCAGAAAGTGCTGCGGAAGGACTATATTCAGAATGCCAGCCATGATCATCAGGAAGCCACTGGAGGTCTGTAAGGGAAACGCCAAATTAAACAGAAGATTATTTAATCATAACACACATATATAAAAAATCCGGTTGATTTGTGTAAAAAAAGATAATTAAATGTGTAAGCTTATTGATTTTTTAAACCCTGTTGATTTGTTTAAAAGAATAAATTTACCTGGTAAGATATATAGTTTTTAAATAACTGAGCTTTATATCCACAAATATCATTTGATTTCCTATTTAATATTTTGAATTTAAATAACAATAGTTTTTAATAAGTGCTGACTATTATCAACTTTTTTGTTTTGATTACTTTTAATCGAGTGTAAATCAGAAATACATTATTTTATTTATGTTCATATTTGGAATATAAACTTGAACAATTTTTTGTGAGACAAAAAACCCAAACTATTTTAAGCTACCAATATCTAATAATTACTTTTTTGTGTAGCATATTGTGCACTTGGGATATTCCAACAATCGATCGATCAGCCCTCGCTTACCGCCCAGTGTTTATCGCCACTTAATGGCCAATGCAGGTTGAACGCGATCGCCTTATCAGTTTATTGGATTGATAAGCCCCCTAATGGTTAAGTGCTAATGGCTGCAGAATCAATTATTGGTGGCATGAAAAGGGCTCATCCAGTTTGACTTTTTGCGGGGGAGTACACAGTAGACTAAACTAAAGAATAAACCACTTACATAGGCCACATTTTTGGTGACACGCTGCACAAAGAGGGCGGCCAAAAGGGCGCCCAGTGCAGCTCCAATAAACCAGCTCATCATCAGGTTGTGGGTGTTGTTATTGTTGAGGAACTTGCCGGCGGGGGTATCGAAAATTGACCAGGCCAAACGCATTCCACAGCCCACGAACACAATCGATGCTATGGGACATAAGAACAGGGTTAAATCTATGGATCTTCGACCAGTTTGTTTTGGTCATTACCCGAGGCCATGGACTGAAATTGCTGGCGATACTTCCACATGAGTCGGAGCCAAGACAACTTGGCCTCTTCTTCGATCGTTGGCAACATCGGCATATTTTGACTTCAATCACTTAGACACTGCGTAACGCAATTAGAAGCTTAAGACGACGTTTCCGTTTTCAGTTATTTGTGCAGTTGATTTGTTGATTGTTTTGCTTGGCACCTTTTCACTGGAACCGCTGCCTTGTTTGTCTACTCGAACTTGTCATTATTTTTGCAGTTTGTGTCACAGATATTCAACTACAAATTTCGCACTTGTCGGACGGCCAACTCGTGAACGCGGCGAATCAAGTTAACCGACTGTTCAGACGCCGTTTGATAAACGGTTGGGCATCGAGCGGTTATTGAGCGAGCGCCTCGAAATGGCCAGCACGGCCGATAAGATAAACGCGTGCTGAACACTTTTTGTCAACCCTCTTATCAGCTTGATTGGTGGATATAAATAAATTAATTAAATTTGATTATATATACAGGGTACAAAATCACATATGAACACAAGGCGGGCGAATAGCTTTACGACACAGAGTGGTCACAAAACACCGTAAAGTTTATTGTCGTTACGAGTGAAAGTTGAAGTGCTAGTGATGCGAACAATAGTTCTGATAACGAGCTGGTTCATGGGTAGAAAAGTCATGTTGAAAATAAAAGAAAATTAGGTAAAATAACATTTAACGTATAAACAATCCATACACTATATCTATAGAATATAATCTTATATTCATAATAACTAGCAAAGAAGAAAGATTTTACACAAATCATAAATATATATATTTCTAAAATACAATATTTTATACAATTCCATAGAACTTAAAAGAAAAAATTTTTAATTACATAGTTGCTGTCTTTAAAAAAATTGTTATTTAATTTTTAAATTAATTTTTAATTAAAATTGAACTAGTTTCAATTTTAAAATACTTGCAAGTGAGCTATATAAAGTCCACCAAACATTTATGAGGCACCAATCTAATCAAAGATGTATGGGAACCGACTTAATTGCCGTTTGGAAATAAACCTTTTAACGTACTGGCCGTATCAAACCATATTATACGGCGGTGTTCCCCTAAGTCTAATAACCATTAGCTCTTCATGATGATTGGCACAAAAAAGAGAGTGCAGAAAATACAAGCAAGTCTGTAGAGTCACTTTGCCACCGATAAGACAACAGCAAACACGCAGGGTTTCCCAAATAAATTTCAGATTTATTTTCTAGCTATATCTACGGATCTAGGGGTTGGCTAGTCTTGTTTTCGAGATGCCTACTTTCAGGCTGGGGGTATCACAAATTCCTGGAACTTGAACTGCGCTTGCAGGAGCGTGGTGTCCTTCGTTTCCGGCATATACCATACGCTGAAGAGGAATCCGGCCAGTAGTAGGCCGCCAAGGGCGAAGAAATAGACTGCCACAATGCTGCTGTCATAGCTTAACTCCACTTGGCAAACGGACAGCTGGACGATCATCTCCACTATGTAGGCAATGGCGATGCACTGCCGCTTGAATCGACGGGGAAAGGCCTCCGAGAGAAACGCCGAGCTGGGGGCAAAGGCGATGCCTGCGAACAGTTGGAAGATGATCAGCAGCCACAGGGCCATGCGGTAGTCCGAGAATCCCAGCAGCCCACTGCCAGCAAATCTGCTGGCCAGGCCAAAGGACAGGCCACCGGCAATAACGAGTCCAAGGAGCAGGGGGATCTTCCTGCCCAGCGAGTCCAGGGCAAAGGCGCTCGAGAAGGTGCCCGTGAGTCGCAGGATTCCGAACAGCACCAGGGGTCCCGAACTGTCGCCGTACACAGCCACACTCGTCCAGGCCAAGGTGTAGACCACCACCATGCTTAAGCTGGTCGCATACAAAGTCCTCAGTACGGAGAGTCGAATGAGGGCGGGCATGGCCTTCCGCCAGCCGATGGAACTGTGGTGTTCCAGGTAGGTGCGATGGTCCCTCACCTGATCGTAGGTCTCGGACGTCACAGCCTTGGGTCTTTGCAGCCGGCTCAGCGCCTCGATGGCGCCCGGTTCATCGCCTTGCTCCAGCAGATCCACCGGAGATTCAACCGAGAGCATGAAGGCCAGCAGCAGGGCTATGGTGCCCAAAACTGCACTCACCACTCCCGTGAACTGCTCCACCGTGAAGTCGTCCTGCATGTCCCAGCTCGCACTGCAAACAATCTGCACAAAGATTCCAATCGTGGTGGCCCACTGCTCCGTGGCCGACGTGATGGTGCCCCTCTTGTAGAAAACCGAGATTTCGCCGGCCATGGCCAAGGTGGGTGCAATGGCCAGGCCATTGGCGAAACCATTCAAATATCTGCCCGCCAGCAGGGCATCGAGATCCATTCTGTTCACCGCCATCACTATTCCGCCAGTGAGAGTGAGGAAAGAACAGAATTCCTGAAGATATAAAATATAGTTATTTGTTTAAATTAATCAATGGATCGCTTTATAAAAATTAATATTAAATTTGGCCATTTAACAGGATCTTTCTCAGTGTTATTATTCAACTTTTATTCTCACCATCAGTACTTTATAAGGGAACACCCTACTGAAGAGTCCACCAAACAGGGCTCCAAAAATGGCAGCTATAAACCAGCAAATCCTCACATGTTTAGTGGCTTGCAGTTCGGCAAACAAACTGTCGAAACCAATGCTCCAAGCAATGTGAATTCCACCAGTCAAAAATATCAGAGCAGCTGCAAGAGAAATATATTATATTATATACATTTGCCAAATTTTAATTGCAGTACGTACACATTCGTCGCTATCAGTTAAATAAAAATAAAATGGTTTCAAAAGCCTTCTTAAAAGATAAGATTTTCGTTGACAATTTGAATGACATTTTAAACTGCTGCATTATTTTTAGTTTGTTTTAGAGAAAATATAATGATATTATAATATTAATGTTATATTATTTGAGGAATTCATTTATATTAACAGTTAAGTGGGATATCTTTATAATTCTACTTATTTTTAAGAACACTTTTTCATACATATTTTTTTATAAAGTATTCCAGTTTCCGGACTTTGAAATCTGAGAATGGCATTGATTTTGGCTCACATTATAGTACCAAACTTCTTGCGAAAATGCAGAATCTAATGAGCTGATTAAAGTTACAATTCCACTGATGTTTATTAGCGGATGTCCGCTCAATAATATCAAATTCTAACTAATTAATATTTCTGACACACAGAGTGATTCATTATTGAGTGGGTGTTCCACATATCCAAAATGATATGACGCGTTTCACCTCCTTCAAAGAGAGATAATGAACAAAATGATTTATTGCTGCCAAAAAAAAACTATTTATCAATATAGTAGGTCACTTTACTTAATGTAATAAGAACTAACGTCAGACCATTTGAGGAGTATTCAGATTAAAAATAGGTTAACGATTTTTTAATTAGAAAGTACAATGTATTTGTTTGATTTGGCTAGTCTCTGGGTAATTTTTTTCTTGTAATTTTCCAGCGCTCTTACCAGCTAGCACTGCATTTGCTTGCGGCTGGTTTCGCAGATCCCTGTTGCAGCACGGACTTGTCTGCGAGTTCCGAAGGATCAGCTCCCGCTGGTGATCCGTGTTGCCGTGGATGTGGATGTGCTGCTCCGAGCCACTGTGAATGGGTACGGCGTGGAAGCCATCGTCTGGAGAAGGTCGATCGGTGGGCATGGGACCTTTTGTGGTCGAGCTGTCGGAGGAAACTACGCGTCCACGTTTTTCGGCTCTTGTAGGTGAGCATGTTGAACAGGTCGCAGTGGGTTATCTATCGGCAGGGAAATAATCTTATCGGCTGGTATTGATTGATAAGTGGGTGCTTAGAACTTTCGGGTTTCGCTATCTCTTAGAGTCCGATTTTCCCTATCACGACTTGTTTGCATATGTCTGAGAGTAGAGCATGTGTTCGGCTGGATTTGTTTGTGCACCCTGGCAGGTAAAACTGCGTTGGCCAACCTTCACCCTTAAACACTTACCACTACTCTCACTATCTTTATGTTTTTGTTAGATGCTCTTTCAATAATTTACCAGTTCCCTTTGTCCAACACCTTTATGACGATCGTTTTGTTGACAGTCGATAAATGTTATCAACAGCCGAAATACGATTGGGAATAACAACGCCTGGAGTGCTTGTGTAGCAGCAAAAAAATATTTATTTATTATCTCTAGTGACTCATGGGTAAATTAAGAAAAGGATATTCAGACTAGAAACCCAAGTTGATAAATCTACTGAACTTGTCCTGCGCTTCTCTCAAATTCGTCCTTCTGGTCTCTGGCAGGCAGAGAAAGCCAAAGAAAACGCCGAACAGGTAAATTCCTCCCATCGCAAAGAAGTATGTGGCACCGACAGGACCACTCCAGGTGACCAGGGTCAGCACTATGAAGACGAGCATCTCGGCGATGAAGGTGAAGGCGATGAAGGGCTGCTTTACTCCCAGAGGATATGCCTCCGAAAGGTACGGCGATGTGGCTGTGAAGGCGATTCCCGCAAAGAGTTCGAAGACCAGCAACATTATGGAGTTGCCCGTATTATAGTACAAGTTGTACTGCCCTCCAATCACAAAGGCCATCACACTGCAAACAATCAGGCCGAGGAGAGTGAGCTTCTTGCGACCGACTGACTCCATGCAGAAGGTGGCTATGAAGTTGCCCATCCAGCGACAGACGCCGAACCCAATGAGCCAGCCCAAATAGCCATTGACATACTGAATGGCGACAGTGTACACAAGGGTATAGTAGACCAGCCTGCAGATGCTCATGGCGTTCAGGCCCCTGAGGAAGGCCAGTCTCACGAAGGTGGGAATGGCCTGTCCGATGGTCCGGCACATGGAAAGATCCTTGTTCTGGGCCAAGTACTTCTTGTGCTCGGCCAGTTGCTCAAATGTCTCGTTGGTCAGAGTGTAGGGCCTCTGCAGTCGCCGCAGGGCATCGATGGCCCCCTGCTCATCGTTATTCTTGGCCAGCATTATCACCGGCGATTCGATGCACAGCAGTGAGCCAATTATCAAGGCCATCAGACCGTAGATAGAGCTCAGCAGCCCCTTCATGTTCTCAGCCGTAAAGGCGTAGATCGATGGGCGGGGGGTCGAAGCATTCCAGGATGTGGTGTAGATGATCTGCAGGAAGATGCCCAGGCCGAAGCTCATCTGCTCAATGCTGGCCGCCGTCAAACCCCGCATATAGGACACGGAAACCTCGCCAGTCAGGGCCAAGAATGGAGCAAATATCAGTCCATTGGCTATGCCATCCATATAGGAACCCACTAAAGCGATACTGCCATTGCTCCTCGCGCTGGCTGTCACTATACCACCGATCATCACCATAAGTGAACTGAAAATCTGTGAAAAGGTGATCGATTTAGTGCCTTAGTTAATTGATTGGTATATTTTTTACTTACCAGCACATGCTTTTTGGCCACCTCGTTGGTTAGAAAACAGCTCAGTACCGCTCCAATGATGCCACCAATAAACCAGGCTATAAAATTGTGATTGCTTGTGCTATAGAAGAGCCATCCATGAAAGCCCATGCTCCACGCAATGTTCATTCCTCCAGAGACAAAGATGAGACTTGCTGCAAAAGGCAAGTCATTTTAGTGATCATTATAGCTAATATAAGTATAATAATATAAGTAAGTATTAGTTGGCTTTGACTGCAGATTGACTTTAACATATTTCCCCGCACTTTGATCTGTGACTCACCTGCGCCAACTGCGTTTGATTGTGGTTTGTTCTTCTGGTTGCGACTGTACCAGCCACTGTTCACCACCACCGAGGTGGTTTGCTGGGGGGATGTGGCGGTGGGTGTGGTGGCGGTGCTCCGTAGTTTGGTGGTGCACCGTAGTACTGTGGTGGAGGTGTCGGATAGGCCGAAAATCCAGCCTGTGGTTGAGCTGGATTCCAGGAATACCCAGGCTGCGGATATCCTGGCTGTGGATATCCTGGCTGCGGATATCCTGGCTGCGGATATCCTGGCTGTGGATATCCTGTCTGCAGATATCCTGGCTGTGGATATCCTGTCTGCGGCGGTGCAGTTGCAAAGCCAGTGGCGGCTGGGTACGCTTCTGGTTGTGCTTCGTTCTTCATTTCGTTCGATTTTTCTTTTTTTAGGGAGCAACCGTCCCTACGAATGGGTAATTCGGTACTGAATGAATGACGGAAAGACCGTGCGTTTTATTTTAACCATTTGGCATGGGACTGAAATGATTATTGAGTGGGGCCAAGGCTTATCAACACGTTATTGATAAGGTGCAAATGGCGAGCGATAATAGCAAAGTATCTAATCGAAACACTTTTGCGAACTGTAAAAACCCCCAAAAGGGGCCTCCCACGGATTATAACACTTTTATGCCGCAATAAATCGGATTACTTTGGATAATCTATGCTTTTAAGTATCTTGGAATTATTTCAATTTATAAATTGATCAAAAATGTTTTTATTTAATCAGTTAAATATAGTTTTTTATGATCTTAAGGACAAATCTAAAAACAAATGTTTTCATATTTCCAAAAACAATTTTAACACTATTTAAGACCACCACATTATATTTTTGTTTCTTTCTATTCCTATTTCTTAATGAACAAAATCGGCTTACAAAGTTTGGTATAAAATTGTTTATTGCTTATTTAATGATTATGTTTTGGAAAAAAACTAAAACCGAAATGTGTAATTGGCTGTGTGGTGCGATCATAGTTTAAAAATGTATGTTTAACATGAAAAAAATAATATAGTGGATAATTTTCTTTGACATTTTTTAACGGGAATTTCATTATTAGCTGATAGGAATCTAAAATAAAAGCAATGTAGTTCCTAAGGGCCTTCCCATCAAGAAATTTTTATATTATTTCATGGAGCTATGAAACGGTAGTATTCAGATAGTGCCTTTATTTATGACTGCAATAATTCTTTATTACTTAACTGGAAAAAATGGAAAGCAATTTTGGGATAGTATAGCAAATTAATTCTTAAAATAGAATTATTCGCAGAACACAATAAAAAAGTCACTTAAGGTGGGTGGTACATATCAAAATTTACTGTATGTCTAGGGCCCTAAAAAGTTTGAAAACCAAATTCGGCATAACTATGAACAATATTTTCGTGAATAACTACAATATATGACTGGACGTATATATTTTATTTCATATAGATCACCCTTCCTTAATACAAAAGTGTTTTCCCGTTGGGGCTTCCCCCACAACAAGTATTGGCCATTAAAAAAGAATTCGTTTTGTGATGAAATTTAAGACTCTATTGAGCACTGTAAATGTGTTAAGTTTCATATGTACAATTTATATGTTAAAAATGGAGGAGCCTTCGATTAATTGAAACGCAGGTTGACGAAACTGCTGAACCGCTGCTGGGCGCCTCGCAAGGTCAGCATTTTAGTTTCGGGCAGTGTAATGATGCCCAGCAAGAAGCCAGTCAGGTACATGCCGCCCATGACATAGAAGTAGTTGTATCCCTGCGATACGTTGAAGTCGCACACGTTGATGATGAGGAAGACGAACATCTCGGTGACGAAGGTGAAGGCGATGAAGTGCTGCTTGACGCCCAGGGGATAGGCCTCCGAGAGATAGGCTGAGGTGGCCGTGGAGGCCATTCCCGCGAAGAACTGGAACACCATCAGCAGGATGGTCACATTGCTCAGCAGGGTGTACAAATCGTACTGTGAGCCCACGGCAAAGGACATTCCACAGCAGAGGAGCAGGCCAAATACAGTGGGATTCTTGCGGCCAAGGGACTCCATAAAGCAGGAGGGGATGAAAGTGCCCAGCCAGCGGCAGAGGGCGAATCCTATGTACCAACCCTGAGCACTTGCGAGCCCATACGACGCGTAGATGGACAGGGCCAAGGCGATGATCACATGGCTAGACAGGCTCATCGCATTCAGGACTCGGAGATAGGCGAGCCGGATGAAGGTGGGCAGGGCCTGGGAAATGGACTGACCCAACGACATGTCCTTGTTGTGGGCCAAGTAGCGCTTGTGCTCCGCCAGCTGATCGTACGTTTCCTCGCTCAGCACGGAGGGTTTCTGCAGTCGACGCAGTGCGTCAATGGCGCCCTGCTCGTCGTTATTGACCAGCATCAGCACCGGCGACTCAATGGTCATGAACCAGCCCAAAATCAGAGCCATAAATCCGTATATGGCGCTCAGCACTCCCTTCATATTCTCGGCGGTGAAATCCTTGTACGATGTGTACCTGGGATAGGTCCAGGAGCTGACATACACGATCTGCAGCAGGATGCCGACGCCGAAGCACAGCTGCTCCAAGCTGGCGCTGACCATGCCCCGCATATAGGGCACAGCGATCTCTCCAGCCAGGGCCACAAAAGGAGCAAAAATCAGACCGTTGGCCAGGCCATCCAAATAGCAAGCGGCAACGGTGGCAGGTCCATTATTGTGGCTGCAGGCGATTATCAATCCACCCACGGCGACCAGGACGGATGCAAACAGCTGGGGGCAGGCAAATGCCAGTGTCACTCAAGGTATTCATTTAACTGGGGGTGTTCTTAGCTTACCAGGACGAACTTCTTGGCCACCTTGTTGGCCAGAACGCAGCTTATCAGCGCTCCAATAATGGCCGCAATGAACCAGGCTATGTAGTTGTGCTTGGTGGAATCGTAGGCGATGGGTCCTCGGAAGCCAACTGCCCACGCTATGTTCATACCTCCCGAGATGAAGATTATACCAGCTGAAAGTGGGGAAAATAGGGTTTGATTTAGTACCTCAATTAACAAGGGAACGGGAATAAAAAAATGTGTATTTAGAAAACAAACTTTCCTAAAATTTGAAGACGAACTGTTGTTTTAGTGGGTTTTGTTTTTAATTTTAACTGCTCTGTTTACGTTCATTTATGAACATCGAAATAAAAAGGCACCTACTTCTTTATACTTGTATACGTTCATATAAAGCACTAAGCAAAAGAATGCAGTTTCTTTTAAAAATTTGAAACAAAAATCAAAAAACGTGTTCTAAATAAAAATCGTCTGAGTAAGACTCCACTTTATGTAGAATCTATTTCCAATATATTACGTCACTGTTGATAATCTACTTTGTTTCCAAGAACAGTCAACACTCTGTGCAGACCAGATAAGATTATCGTCATGGCCAAGCCTTCGGGTGGTGAAGTTTATGGATTTATGAATTTTTGGATTCCGAAATTGAACTAACCTGAGCCCACGGCATTCGATTGGGGCTTGTTCTTTTGGTTGCGCTTAAAGCATCCTTCGCGTGGGCGATCCACCCTGGTGGGATGGTTCAGATTCGGCTCAGGTGGTGGTGGCGGAGGACCTCCGTAGGTGTCTGCTGGTGTATAATCCGGCTGAGGATATCCTGGCTTGGGATATCCTGACTGTGGTGGTGCCGAAACAAAGCCCATCGGCGGTGGTGCAAACTTGTCGTTCTGCATGGTCGATCGCGATTTATTTCTCTCCACACGGAGGCAACCTGCTCCGTTTGAGGTCGATTCGAAACTGGCCAAAACGTCGGATGGCCAGTGATTTTTATGTATAACGAGATCGGGTCTGGCACAACTGATATTTGGGAGCGTTGCCAACGTTGATTAGTGCAAATGGTGGGAAACGCTCGATAACGATTGCGTCCTTATCGCAATGTTTGTTAACAATATTTACAGTATGTGGTATATAGAAGCCTCTTCAGATGATGACTTTTTAGATTTGGATGTGTCAGGTGTAGGAAACTCAACGAAATAAGTATGTCGGAATATGGTTTTTCCCCGACTTTTGCTGTTGGTATGACTGTTCATACCACCAAAGTCCACAAAAAAATCTGAATCATCCATTTGAGGAAATTGCCATATAAACGATTATAATGGCAATTTTTAGTAGGTCTTTTGATAATCAACGCGTACACAACTCCCAAGCTGAAGTCTTCTTAATTATGGTAAATAAAGAAAATATCATAGTCGTCTTTTAATATGCATAATTTTAAGGAGCTTTGCGAAGCTCAATATCAAAACTGAATCATAAAATGGCAGATAATCGAATTCCATTTAATTCTTGGAATTATGTGAATGGTAAGTATTTTATTAGTATAGCCCTTATCATTCACATAAGTAATAATCATTATTGATTAATTATTGAAAAGATTTTACTAAAGTACGATTCATTTGAGCACTTTTTTAAATCGCCCTCAAAATTCTTTAAGTTATCAAGAACTCTCTCAGAGAAAAGCATAGGTAAATTTCTAGATTTTATTTGCTGAACAATTTATTTATTTTTGTTGTATTTTCGGTTACGTCCTCTGTTTAAATTAGCACGACCGGTGTTTTTAAAGCACGCCATTAACAAGTTTCCAATCGCCACCAGAATGGAACAAAGTTGCTGGAAATAGAAATTTATGGATTTAGGTAAGGATAATTACATTGTGCTGATAATTTGATTACCAGGATTTGCTTCTTAGCTTTCTTGTTTCTGATGAAGAAGTCAAAAACAGTTCCAATAATTCCGACAAGTAACAAGGCTACATAATTCCATTTGCTGTTGGAGTTTTCGAGGCCCCTAGAAACTGTTAAAATCGAGATGCCTTGTCAGAGTGATTTCCCAAGCTGTTTATGAAATGTACCAGGAATTTTCCTCGTTTCGACCAGGCTAGATAAGATTAGCTCTGCATTATTTTGCCGAAAATTACCCACCTGAATCCCATGCGTTGGGCTTTAGTTTGTGTCCCTTCTTGGAACTGTCGCTGTCATTCCAGTTTGGCTTGTTGTGGTTCATTCGACTCATATTATCTTCATTGGGCTAGCCTTCGCTGACGGTGGTCAATATTTAACTAACTTAACTAGCTGCTGTTTAAATAGCTTGCGCCACCGTTGCTGATATTGTTTATAGCAACCATTAGGTTTGTTTATGGCCAATTTTTTTCACTATCTATGAATCACATTAGAAGGAGAGTAACAGACATTTGCTACCGATTATTTATTTAGCTAAAGAAGTGTATTTTACGTATTTCGAATGTATCCGATGACTTTAATATAGTTATTCTTAAATTTTAAATGTATTTATATATAAAATAAAGTAAAATATATCCCTGGGTATTTTCCAGCCTCGACTAAGAATTACATTGGCTTTGCCTTATCTTTTGCGATCGATACGGTTGTCAATCCTTACAATAAGGGGATTACCCCTTATCTGTCACGAATTTATCACCAATTGGAAATTGCAAAGTATTCACTCAATAATCTTCACGCAATATTTACTCAATAAACTTGTTGTCCTAAACATATTTTGATTACCCCCCTCCTATAAACTTAAAAATCTTTGTTGAACCACTTGGAAAACTTAAGCTGTGCCTCTGCCAAAGTTACAAGTTTAGTCTCCGGCAGACAAAAGATTCCCAGAAGGAAAAAAACCATAGAAAGTGAGCCGAGTACATGAAAATACGCCGTAATTCCAGCTATTGAAGGTGGAAAGCTGCACAGAAGCAGTCGTGTTACTAACTCTAGTATGTAAACCACAGCCACCAAGTGTGGTTTTATTCCCAGGGGAAATGCTTCTGTGAGGTAAACAGCCGAGGCACACTGTCCCAATCCCGCGAAGAACTGCAAACTGAAGAGCATCACTAGTGCGGTGATCATGTGAGGCGTTCTGCCAAACAAATTGGCAAACGCAATGGCAAACGCACCGGTGGAAAAGGTGCCGAAGAGAGTGGGTTTCTTGCGACCAGTGGTGTCCATCGGCAGCACCACAAAAAAGCAGCCGCACCACCGCAGCACTCCGAAAACCACATAGGGCCAGGCAGGAAAGCAGCTCACCAACTGGCTGGCCGTTTCGTACAGGGCACAGCAGATGATGTAGTTCAGGCACAGGACTCCCAACAATCGAAGGACCAGGAGCTTAAGCAGCGATGGCAGTCCCTTCTGCAGACTCAACCACACACACATCTCCCGATTCTCAGCCACATACAGTTTGTGTTCGTCCAGTCTCAGGAGTGTTTCACTAGTCACCATATAGGGTCGTTGCAGGTGTCTCAGAGCAGACACCGCCCTTTGTTCGTTGGACCGCATCAGCAGGTGCACCGGTGACTCCACACAAAGAGTTAGGGCTAGTGCCAAGGCTATCACTCCGTAGATTATCGAGAGAACCCCATGCACCTGGTCCGCCACAATGATCACGTCCCAGTCCGCCTGCCAAACGGCCGTGTAGATCAGCTGCATCAGGATGCCAGTGTTCGAGCTGAGTTGCTCCACAGTGGATGCCAGAAGACCTCGGATCTCGCTCACCGCAATCTCACCCACTGTACTCAGGGCAGGCACGAAAACCAGCCCATTGGCCAAGCCATCCAGATATCGGGCGGCTATAATGGCTTCAGGACTCTCCGGACAAGCCAGGAATAATATTCCGGATGTGATCACCAAGCACGAGCCAAAGATCTGCCAAAGAATCAAGGTTATAACACTATATTGAACTTTGTAGAATTTTTCGTTTATACATTACATTTACTATGATCACGGGTGTACAAATCTAAATTGACAAAATCCTTCCGATTCAGAAAATGACACTCCAAATTTTGAGTATTAAACCATTTTATATACTTTTATCAACTATTTTATTTTTTATCTCCCAAGTTATCACTTTGATATAACTTTAGCTGCGGTTTCAAAACACTTAAAGATTTGTTCAAAAAACGTTACTTCTTCAACTATTTGCATTAAACTCCAAGGTTAATGGTCAACTGACCTTTAAATAACCATATATTCTTTTTAATTTTCCCTTATACAGGGGTGGTTAAAAGTATTTACACAATTTATGAGCAGAGTTTTATTTAATTAGTAAAAATTCTTTTGAATGAAAATTCTTTTTTGAAATTTTGAGTAATTGAAGTTACATGTACTGAGATTTAAAAATATTTATACAATTTGAAATGGTTTTTATAACTTTATGTACCTATTTAGATATTTTACATTGTTTATTTTACGAACTCTGCCCTATAATAATTTCTTTAATTAAGAGTCAAAATACTTTGTAATTTGTATGTACAGTATTTTATACACTATTTTGATTGGTTTATTACACTATATCAACTTTTAAGCACTGACTATTTTCTAACTACTCACGTAGATGGGTTGCTGTGGCAGTCGGTGGGTGTAAAAAGCGGCAAAAAGGGCTCCCAATATGGCAGTTGCGTACCAGGCGATTTGCATGTGCACGGTGAGCAGGAGCTGATCCCGATGGGCGGAGTGAACTGCGAAGCCTGCTCCCCAGGCCAAGCTCATTCCGCCCGAGATGAGGACGAAGGATGCCGATCCCAGGGCAGTCCATTGCGAGTGATTCTTGTGGCCCAGACGGAGGAAGGTGGCCTTTTGGGGAATAACAAGAGAATTCTGAGGCGGCGGCTCACGCTTCTTGGCCGACATTTGCGATCCGTTTACGAGGCGGTCGCACTATCCACTCCTATTTATAAGGGGTAGTGAATGGGATCGTTTATCAGCTTGTCTCGCTGCATATCCATAACCATAACCGCGACCATAAAATCATCGACAGTAGCACTCATCAATCGAAACAGCGGAAATCAATATGCTCACTCCCTGCAGCGAAGTGAGGAGTTTTAATTAACCGAATTTCGGGTGAAATAAATCATATTCGGGGGGTTGTTATCGATAGCTAATCAAAGTTTTGCGTAGTGATAAATAATTGGGTCTCAGCTAACTTAACTGCGATATGGTTATGCCATCTCGTAGAATAGTGTTATGGTGACGAATTTAATTGGATGTTATAAGAAGAAAGGAGGTTTGGTTTTATTATGTTTAATAAAAAATATGTAATTAGTTGCTTTTGCCGACTGCTTCATCACAAATTGATATGGAAATAATAACTATTGATTTAAGGTATGTAATTAAATGGCATACTTTTATTGGTTTTAATTTAATTTACACAAGTCATAGAATATTAGTGGGCTTACAAATAACAATCAAAGGCTATTAATGTTTATAGCCAATAAACCAACCAAATAAAAATGCTTATTTGTTAATTGATATCCGGCTTAACTCCATTAACGCCTTTGTTTGGTTTTTTTGAATTTAATTAAAGGACATTCAAGTTTGAATTTAGAATAAAAGCTTTCAAAACAATTTAACAATAAATTTAAGAAATTAATAGTTGACATTTTCAGATATTTAGAGCATTCTCATCTGTAGTTCATCTTAAATTTAAATTTTGAACCATCCCAATCTTTAGTTCCCATTTCAGATTACATCTGATGCGGACATTTGCATCAATTTTCGGGAACAGTTTGTGGCTGTGCGAAAATTTCTGCCGACTGGCAAGAAATTGGGGGAAAACCCAGACCACTTTCGGCCCGTCTGCCACTGCATTGCGGCAGGCATATTAACTCCGGCTGGTAGATTAAACACGGCCACGAGCATTGGCAATATCATTGCATTTGCCGCCTGGTTTATGGGCTGCATTACTGTTTGCGACTGGAGCACCGGACTCCTGCGTATGCCCAAAAATGCCGGCAACAAACACTCAGACAAACACACACACACACATCTACATAGGAAAAGTGGAAAATGGCGTAGAAACTTTTATCGCAGGTGCTTTTCCCGGCATTTCCCTGCGATTTCAGCGATTTCCTGGCCAAGAAGTCAGAGGATAGTTTCCAAACAGAACTTGCCACCAAGTTGGCGATAGTGTTTGACTATGTGCGCACAACCAAAGGCCTTGCGACACCTTTTGCCCGGCGTTAAATAAATTTAATTTTATCGCTACATAAATACAGGCTCAGGGAAAAGAAAACGGATTGGAGTCTTGGGAGTTTTTGTTGGAGTTGTCTCGGCCCAATCCAAGTTGCCAAGTTGACACTTACGGCCGGCTACAGTCCATAAATCCCCAGAGCAGCCTTTAAAGTATTATATTTCCTAACCCACCCACATATTAATTAGAGCACGCCACTACCGATCATTTGAATGGCGCAACTCTTTTATGGCCACTCGGGCGCAAATATAAATAAATGTTATATTGATCTGTTGCCATTTTATGACCCAACACAAAATGGGCAATTTTCCATTTTTTTTTCGACGCTTCTTCAAAGATTTACGAGCTTTGGGCGGAAAAAAGAGCAAATGCCAAAAGAGGAAATGGAAACGAAAATTGTATAACATAAACTTGGCTAGAAACAAAAGCCAAGTGGGTTCGCCTTGTGCACAACATTTTCTCTCAACAAAATAAAGAGAAAAGGAGCTCTGTGCTTGTGTATGTGTGTGAGTGTGTGGCAAGGAAATTTGCGGCGGCTGATGCTCGTCATATTGCGCATACGCCGCGTGTGCATACGTAATTTAAAATGCATATTATGACAGCCTTGTGATGCGATGACTGCAGAGGCTACACACATGAGCCGGCCCCAAGACAAAGCCCTTTCAATTAGGCTAAAGTTAAGGACGAGAAAAACTGCAGCCAAGGACAAGGCCCCACCTGTTTGCCTAAGGGTTTTCACTCAACTTTAAGCCAAAACTTTTCGGTCAACACTGCTGTGGAAACTTTGACTTTGGCCCATCGATGTTCGTGTCCACTGAATGGCACACACCGAACTGCCATAAACAATAAATCCCAAGTTAATGTACCGAAATAATAGAGTTTTTCTTGCTGCATGTTCACCGAACTTGTAGTTTATTCCGTTATGTTTGCTTACTGCTTCTGGATTTACTGACGGCCTCTCGGAAATTATGTTTATGCAAATTTCAATAAAATGTCAAGGAAGTCGGGCCAGGGCACAAATTAATTTATCAGTGCGTGCGGGGATGAGTCACAAATCCTGATTAACTTCTGGGCCAAATAAAGAAGACAACAAATGTGCACTTTAGCCGGAGCCAGAAAGACAAAACAATTGCTGTGGCGCACACACGCTCTTATATTAATATATGGTGTATGGTGTATGGTGTATGCTGTATGGTGTATGGTGTATATCCCAGCGAGTCCTTGTGTCGGTTAATGCAAGCCAATAAATTTCGGCGACATTTGTACCTTTTGTTGTGGGGTGGCAGGCGGCAGGATGCGGAGAGGGGGGCGTGGCATACTGCCATTGTTAACACGAGACGGAGGCGTCACAAATTCCCAGCTTTTTTTTCGCTTTGTCCTTTCCTTGCGAAACGTCGGCCGTCACGAGCCAAAGATGCCTGAAAAATGGCTACAATTCATTCGCCACAGCAGCCGGAGCTGGGAGAGTTCGGAAAAATCCCTTCAAGCAGCAGCTCCTTCCGGCAGGACCTCTGAAATTTAGTTGTTGGATCGCTCCGTTCAAGCAAGTGATTTGTTTTGCTTCGTTTGGCAACAAATCAGAAGATAAACGACATCGATTGCGACCAACGACATGGCTGCCGGGCCCAAAAAGGATTCGCCTGCCGCAAATTATGAATCCTGCCCGACTTTATTTATATATAGACAGCCTTTTATGTACCTGAAACCTGCGTATAAATACGAATTTAAACGGAACCGAACCAAACGAAACATTGTTTGCAATTAAAATTGCATTATGTGTGTGAGCGAGCAGAGGCAAACAGTTTTGGCAATTTATTTTTTGGTAAAATGTGCTTTTTGTTGCCCCTCTGTCCTGATGGCAATCGGTGTGTTTTATTAGTCCCCTGCCAGGAGCATTTAATTATGCTGCATTGCACAGCCATATGGAACGTAAAAGTTTTCATAAAATAATTGAAAACAATTTGCGCTTTAATTATTCACAGCCTTCGATTGCGAATATTTTTATACAGAGAACGTGGTTGCACGGTTAAGGGTCAATGATCTTGGGTTAACGCCATGACTTTAACTTTATTTATTTAAACCTATACTTTAGAGATTTACCATAATTAAGGCCAACTCATTTGCATACGCAATAACAAAACTTTGGCCCATAAAGGTTGATAAACTTAACGCCCACAAAATGTAAATGAGTTTGTTTCGCCTCTTGATAACTGCGAAGCCATTTTACGCGCTTATATGGCCAATCTAATTAAATGTTATGTTTTCGTTTGAATACAAGACACTTACAATGTTAATTTTGCGGCGTATCTTAGTTTCCGAGATGTTGTACACTTTTAACGAGCCACTCAAACTTTGGCACAAGACAGCAAGTGTGTATGTTCTGGGATAATAACTTTTATCACACCTGCCATTAAAGTGGCCCCCACAAAGCACACAGCTGAACTGCGGTCATAAATCAATCATAACTGTCCTTGTTAACTGCAATCATGAATATTTCCTCGGCGTTTGCATAAAGCAAATGACAGTCATGCCACATACATAACCGCACGCATAACATAACATCACCATACCCCAAATATCCTTCGAAAGGAATTCCATGCGCTTGTGGATTTTGAGCCTAATTGTTGCTGCTTCGGCTTGTGATTTGTATTCGGATTTTGGCCATGGCTATGGATCCGGATCCGGACTCGGACTCGGACCCGGACCCGAATTGGGCCCACTGAAAGATTGCATTAAATGAGGTTTAATTAATTTTCGGACCCACAGCCGAGCGTTTGACAGGACAGCAGAGCCGAGCGGGCAGCCATTGTGTTTGGCCACGCCCCGTGTTTGCTTTAGTTAATTGATTTTCTTTCAGTGCGTTCCATTTGCATAACAATCCCCCGGCTGCCCTTCCGAATCAAGAGTGGAAAGTGGAAAAGCGAGCGGTGAAAAGTGAAAGCGGTGAAAAGCCACCAAACAGTCGTCGGTCAACAGTTGCGGGTTTTTTGTTTGACGACCGCCAGCAACTAAAACGGGAATTAGAGCCCGACTAAATTGCCATTGGCACACTTAAATACGGGTTCAGTTTAATTGGCGTTTTTTTGTTATTGCGTTTTTCTGGGAATGCAATAAAAGTGTCCCTAATAGTTGGTAGTTGAAGCTAGAGGGACTGATGGCTTAAGTGCTCTATAAGTGTTTAAATTATTGTAGAAAAGTTTTAATTAGTCAAGTGGGGCAGAATGAGTGCCTCTCCACTTTCATGCCATCATTTATATAGATAGTATATTTACGTATGCGAGTAATAACAAATGCGAGAACTAAATTGCTTCATAAATATCAAATTAGTTTAGGCTTTATTTGCGATTAGGGTCATTGCTCGGTGTGTAACCTTTTTTCATTATATATTTTGTGATGGTGCTTAAAATAGTATATGATAAACTGGCTGCAAATTGCTGTTATTAATTTGCAAGTAAATAAAATCGTAAATATATAGCATATTTAGTATATTCATTTTTCCATGTTTTTTTATCTTTTCCATTTTATAATATTAAGTAAGTCTTTAATAATAATAAAACAAAAATTCAATTTAAATATATTGAATTGTTACATTCTCAAGATATTTACTTTAAACTTCGACAGAACTCCTTACCTTCAGGGAGTAAATGAATGGGTTAATCAG